GATGACGCAATATTTTCAAGACCAACCAAATTTCATCACACACACCGAAAATGGATTCATATTACTGCACATCACTGAAAATGACTTAATCTGAGGAAAAAATAGAAATGGATTACACCATATAAATGCAGTTGTTCTAAAAATGGCCGTATGGTGAAAGAAAGGAAAATAAAGTGGTTGCTTAATTAATTTGCTCAAGGGTGTGTATTTTAATTTGCACAAGGGTGTATATTTTAAAATCATTATTTTCTTTTTACCACAAAGAATTGATCTTTGTTCCATTATATATGTATAGAAAATCACTCAACATATGAGGCTATATAAAACAACCATATGGAGGTATTTGTATGAGAAAAAATTCAGATTCTAAAATGTAAGACATCCGGAAAATTCCTCTGCAAACAATATAACCTTTTGAAACCGACAGTCTATTTATTTATTGTATTTAAAGCAGTTTATCTTCTCTTCGTAACTGTGTTCTCAACAGACAAAAAAGAAAACAAAGACAAAAAAAACGACCTCGTTAGAAAACAAGGACATTACTGTCAAGGTTTAAATGGTTATATTGTCTAAACTATTTTAAATAAAATCTTATATCCTTGCTACTTGGGCGGCACATATTTGCGCTATCTCGTTTCACAAAGAAGCATTTGCTAAACTAATGTTTGAAAGTCGAAAGTAATTAACACTGGAAGGAATAAAATTGGTTAAACTTACTTGCACAACAAAGCGATAAAATGCGACAACAATTAATGTTTTAGAGAATAAAGACAATATGCTTACTTTCACACACACACACACACACACACACACACACACACACACACACACACACACACACATATATATATATATATATATATATATATATATATATATATATATATATAGGTCCAAATAAGAAAAATAAAAGATGGAGTAAAATTAAACTCTTCGTAGTATTTACTTTGAAAAAATTTGCTCAGTAAATGCTAGACAATATATATATATATATATATATATATATATATATATATATATATTTTTATATATATATATTTAATAAAAATATGTTGAAATCATACAAACAAACTTCCATGTTTCAATATTGTTTCAACCGCCTGAAAATGTAAAATGAAAGTATTGAAACATGAAAGCATTTGTGTAGCGATTTATAATAAAATTAATATATATATATATATATATATATATATATATATATATATATATATATATATATATATATATATATATATATATATATATATATATATATATAATGAGGAATATCGAAAAAAATAAATGCGTTAAATTCACCATCATCCCTACAGTGCGCCAACTGCTTAGTGATAGAATATCCGACTGACGCCTATTCATTCGGGTTTCGATCCTAGCTAGAGGCAACCGGACGTCTAGACACACTGATGAGATGTGATACAGCGAAACAATTTGTCTGTGGATCAATATATATATATATATATATATATATATATATATATATATAAAATGAACATAGAAGTCAACACTTAGAGACACCAGTCTGGTCACATGAAAAAATTAGTAGCCTGACTATTTCGTCTAGCATGAAACAGACCGTCGCCTCTAAGTGTTGACTTCTATGTTCACCTTTATATTTACACACGCTCTATCTCTGATATTGAGCACTTTATCCCATAAATATAGCACATCTTAAAAACTATATTTCTTCATATATATATATATATATATATATATATATATATTAATTATTTATTTAAAAATATGATTCCAACTCGCGACATAAGAGGTCTCATGTTTCAAAACAAGAGCCGAAAACTTCAATATAATTATTTGAATTAAATTGAATTGAAGTAAGCTCTGTTCCATCTTCAAGCAAAATTTGTTTTGGAATAACTTATTTCTGACATTTACGTTTTATAATAGCAAATTCATTATTGAAATCAAAATTTCCGTGGTAACGGCTAGAGTGATTGTTTAAATAGAAAGGGGTGTAGGGTGTTATTAATTTGTATCAGTATAGAGTTACATTCATTCATTCATTTTTTTCTGAATGGGTTTTGTGTATATAAAAAAACCCATGCCGTAACATTTGTTTTTTGACGACTTCATAAAGGATTATCTTTTTTTTATACGGTATTTAAACTATTTATTAGGACTATGGATTTTAAAAATTATTTTATTGTTTGTTTGTTTTTATGCTAATTATTCAATGCAAAGATTTGATGGTGTCGGCAAAAAACCGTTAACTTATGTCTATTGTTTAATAGATTTTCATTATTTAGAGACTTAATAATGTGTAGTTTTTCATGTAGGCATAAAGGGCATGGGTCATCCAAAGTTTTACAAGTTCTAGTTTTGTTTATAATTTTCCATTTTAAATATATATTAAATAGGAAAAAATCCAAAGTTGTCGCACTCACATGACATACTTTTAGGCGTTGTCATCTCAGAAATACCCGAATTGACAAGGCATAATAGTAAGTCTTGTGGGTCGAAATATCTATTCGAATGAAGTAAGTTTGAATGTATATTCTATGTGATTTATATGCTCTCTTATAATAAATACACTGAGCTCTTTATGTGGATCAGTTTTAATATTACATATTATTAGGATTCACTCGGATTATTTGGCAACGTATGTATATATAACTGTTAAAATGAATTTATAACCGTTTATATGATATCTAATTAAGTCTTTATCTTATTATTTACACACACACGCACATACACACACACACACACACACATATACATATATATATATATATATATATATATATATATATATATATAGATAGATATATTACCTGCCTCATCAGATTTATGCTTCGACCTCTCATCCTGGAGTTAACTTTCTAATATTTTTATAGACCTCACTGGAATAATCCACACTACCTAAAGGAATAATAGGAGTAAGAATCCACTGTTCGTAGCATTTACTTTTTAAAAAGTTCCCCATATAAAGTAGAACGATATATTATTATTATGTTTTTATTATAAGAGATTATAATATAATCATTTAATCCATTTAATCACCAGTTACTTACCATCGCCCGAGGAAATACAATCATTGTATTGAAACATGAAAGCTTTTGTGTAGTGATTTCAAAATGTTTTTATTATAATATTTTATGATAAAATATAACAATAACTATATATATATATATATATATATATATATATATATATATATATATATATATATATATATATATATATATATATATATATAATGCAAATGTAATCTTACTGATCCATAATTTTCAGAAATTAAATTGAGATAGAAAGACGTGTGTCTATTGCATGATAATTTTCCCCATATGACTGGATTTAGAGAATTATTTCCACTTTATGCATTTATGCAGAAATCTGTTTAAAATACAATCTGATTGGTTGATTACGCTATATCTGCACGGGGTTTGTACTTTTGAATAAATATATTTAATATATTAATACATTTATTTAAAAATGCAAACTACTCTTGAGCAAACTCTAACCAGACATACATACATACATACATACATACATACATACATACATACATATATATATATATATATATATATATATATATATATGTGTGTGTGTGTGTGTGTGTGTGTGTGTGTGTGTATAAAAGTATCTAAAATATATTTAAGATTTAGTGATTGCTGCACGATTATGCAATTTTGTGTCGATTACTTTTGCAGATCAACTTTTCCAAATTACTTCTTATGCGAGGAGTAGATTTAGCGTGTAAATAACACAGAGTTCTAATAGTATGGCCGTGCAGCTAACCAAGATATGAACACTCAAATTTTCCGACAAAGTCTGGTTGAAAAGTAAATTCGGCTTTTTAACAAACATTGAAAATGTAGTAAACGCTAAAATTTCCTCCTCGTCTGAGTTGAATTATTTGTAATTTGGAATATTTGATCAGCAAAGATTAATCAACATAAAATGTCCGTTTTTCTGTAACACATGTATATATATATATATATATATTAAAAAGAAGAGAAGAGAGGTGCCGCTAACGTTTTTGGTTGTAATGTGGATTTATTTAGAAAAAATATTATGCTTTGTTTTACATAATTTTACGACACGTGTTTCTGGTCTCGCGACCGTCTTCAGATAAAAGTGGAGATTTCTACATATTATTAAAAATAATTAATTTTTCTTCATGTTCAATGTGAAATATTCTCGAAAATATAAAAACATTTGGATAGTTCTTACACACCTTTGTCCAGAAAAGAAAGCTCTTGTCAGAACACAAGAAAAATTAAATAAAAAGCTCAACCGTAGTACCTTGTCTGTCGTTTTTTAATGAAACATGCATATATATATATATATATATATATATATATATATATATATATATATATATATATATATATATATACAACAGATGAAATAAACATCCGCTGTTCGTAGCATTTACTTTTTAAAATTATTCAGTACAAAGTATAGCAATATATTATTATATTTAATATATTTAATCATCAGTTACTTACCATCGTCTGAGGAAATATAATCATAGTATTGAAACATGAAAACTTTTGTGTAGGGACTTCAATATGTTTTTATTATAACCTCTTATAATATATATATATATATATATATATATATATATATATGTGTGTGTGTGTGTGTGTGTGTGTGTGTTTGTCTGTGTGTGTGTGTGTTTGTTTGTGTATGTATATATATATATATATATATATATATATATTGCCTCGACTATTTATATATGTTGGCCACTGATGCATTCTGGTCAGGTCTGATGTATTATTCTAACGTTTACTGGGTGCTCCGGTATCTGTTATATTTCAAATTATTCTAGGGCCTATTTAGTGGAGATAATGTTGGATCATGATGCAGTTTTGTGCCTATTTATTAGGTTTTTTTGTATGTATCGCAGTAATGTACACCATGCCAATCATAAAACAGTAGTTATTATTGGATCCTACTTGTGATACATTGACGCTACATTTTTAACTATGACTCTGAACAGATATCTGTTTTTATTGCAAAGTCTTTTTTTTTAAATGCAAGCTAATAATTTGGTGATTGTTTCCAACTTTGTGTTTCGCTACCGAGCTGTAGAAAAAATATTTGAAAATCTTTGTCTTGATATCTTTTCTACGTTCATTTCCTTTCATTCAATAGCCGTCTTTTTCGAAGATTCTTTCATCTATAACTCATTCTCTGGCCAGTGATTCTAACGAATAGTTAATTTATATTTCTTGTTCCTCGACAAGATCAAATGCTTCCAGTCCAATTTTGATGCTTCTTTTTTTGTTTAAATTGAAGAATAAGAAGAAGATATTAATTTTTATTATTATTATTATTATTATTATTATTACTTTGTCTTTCTTTTGGTTTCGGGTCTGCGAAAGTCGTTATATCAGCGACATTATTCACTCAGACAGACAACGTTTCGCTGACACCACGCGCGTTTTTTTTTTAATATCCTATATACGAGTTTCATTTTACTTACTTTTCCTCTTGTCGACTCTCTCTGTCTGTCTGTGTTTCTCTCTCTCTCTCTCTCTCTCTCTAACGCTCTCTTTCTTTCTTTTTCTATCTCTCAATCTTTCTCTCGCTCTGTCGCTCTCTTTCTTTTGTTTTCTCTCTCTCTATCGCGCTCTCTCTATCGCTCTCTTTCTTTCTTTTTCTCTCTCTCTATCGCTGTCTTTCTTTCTTTTTTCTCTCTCTCCCTTTCTCTTTCTATCGCTTTCTTTCTTTTTTCTCTCTCTTCTGCTTTCTCTCTCTCTCTCCCTCTCTCTCTCTCTATCTCTCGAACCTGTTTTAACTTAGAATGAACGAAAAATACCAAAACAGAATCTGAACGTGTTCCAAGAACATTGCAAAATATGGCAATTCTTTGAACTGCAGAAAAGAGGAAACAGTGAAAACTGATATTTTTTAAAAAATTAAGGACGTCAGTTTTAATCATGAGAGAGGGACTGAAAAAGTATTTCGTAAGTAATTTCTTTCTTTTCTTTAATTTCTTTCTTTTCTTTTTCAATATTTTTTTACTCTTTCATAAACTTGAATAATTTTAAGACAATACATGGGACTCGAGAAAATGATTGTCCTTGAACTGCCGACCAGATATATGACTATATATATTTTTGTTCTTAGACGTCTTACTCAGTCAGCAAATCGAATAGCGATTCCAAACCATCTGTGAATGAAATCAATTAAAATAATAACCGTCCTGGTTCTTAGAATAAATTTTGCGCTAAAACGATTTTAATTTCGGAGTTCTCGTTGTATCTTTGGTACCTTTGCCCAAGGCAACTAAATCCAAATATTATTCTAAAACCTCAAGGCTCCTTGTCTCTAAACTGTCAAATTAATGTCATTCATGACATCCAGCTCATTCAAATATGTCAACAACATCATCGATATATAACTGTTTTAACGGATGATATTATCAAGATGTTAGTATTCAAAATTACAAAAAGTAAAATGTTTGGGGTGGAAACCCCCATAAGTAATAGAAAGAGTACTCACAGTACCTGGAGTTGAAAAGTGTAATTTCCTGAATACTGTTTTAAGAAAAAAATATCTCCAAACGATAGCAATGCTAATGGTTCGATCAAAGAATATCTGATGTTTACTGCATGGAAACGGCTAACTTCGTAATTACAATGGCCATAACATTGATAATTGAACAGGGATTGAAGACAATTCCGAGATAGCGGAGTCAGTTAAGGAAACGATTTTTTAATAATATATAGTAATCTCAAATGTTTCAGTAGAAGCGTTTAAAAAAAAAAAAAAAAACAGTTTTTATCTGTCATAAAACTTGTCTTTGGTTAATTTTCACCACAAGAACTAAATATATATAATGTTCTAGTAAAGGGCCTCTTTATTGGGAACAATTTTTGTGCCGACACATTTCGTCTTCTGACGGACCCATGGAGATTGTAAGCTAAGATAATTGTTTTGTTTCTATTTTACAGCATATCAACCTCCATGGTCCCGTCAGACGACGAAACGCGTCGGTCAAAACTAAGCAAGAATTTATTCCTTGTTAATGGATTATTGAAAATACATTAATCGTGATGAATGCTAAAGTTTTGCAGGAGAACACGGACACTTGATAAAAGCTTTGGTTGAATCCAGTGATTTCGCCCAGACTTGTGAGTTGAATACATTGCTACTGGAGAGGTGAACAAAAATTTGGACAGTTGAGTTAAAGGAAGTAAACGAGACACCCGGAAGAGGCATGGCACGTGGAGCTAGAACAATCTACCCCTGTAGACGAAATAAAAAGTTCGATTCGAAATTGCAATCACCTGAAGAAGGCCTGAGAGTACAATGGCAGAAACATCATGAATATGCCAAGGAGAACAGTTTGAATAATGTAAATAGTGTAAACACGATTTTTAGGATAGGTTCGTATGTATAGAATATGTATTCGTTGTAAGAAATCATTTTGTAGATCACATTTCATTGACGTATTTTTGTAAAGGGGAAGAGTCAAAAGTCAAATGTATCGCGGGTAATATTTTTTTAAACGGATTTTATAATGGAGTTCAGTGGTTTGCGACCGTTTTAAAATGTATTGCTGGTATTTTTACTATAAAAATGCTTTTCATACTTTCATAGTGTTTTGTCTCCAGGTTGGCGGTGCAATATTTGCCCATAGCTGGGACCCTAACAGGTGCTTCCATCCTGGGACAGGGTGAACCTGGAAACAAAAGAAATTAAGAGGAGGTTCCACGCTCCTGACGTCCACGATCAGAGGCCTTGCTGTCAGACGTAGTTTATCAGGACGCAAAGAAAATTGGTTTGGTTTGGTTTATTTTGTTTAACCTCAATGGGTTATTTAATGCCGACAACATTTTTAGTATAGATTCGTATGAATAGAATATGTATTTAGATTGGTTTGGTTTATTTTGTTTACGGCATATCAACCTCAATGGTTTATTTAATGCCGACAACATTTTTAGGATTGATCTGTATGAACGGAATATATATGCCGACAACTTTTTTTATTGCTGGTAATATTTTGCTTTGTCAAAAATCTGTTTCTGGTAATATATTTCTTTCAAAATCGTATCGCTGGTAATAATATTTTTCAAAAAAGAATTGCTGGTAATAGTTAACTATTTGCCCATAGCTGGGACCCTAACAGGTGCTACCACCCCGGGTCAGGGATAACCTTGGAACACCAGTAATTAATAGGTGGTTCCACGCTCCTCAATACCTCCTGATCAGAGGACTTGCTGCTGGACGTAATTTAACGTCTTACCCAGGACGCGGATGTAGTTTAACGTCTTACCCAGGGAGAGCTAAGATAATTGATGTGATTGAGGGCATTACAGGCTCAGCTTCAAAATCTTTTCCGAGAACACCAGAATAGTATTACTATGCGCATGCGTAATAATAAATTTGATAATAATCAATAATAATCCCAATGATAAATTTAAATCATGCGTGTGTGGATATATATATATATATATATATATATATATATATATATATATATATATATATATATATATACACGTACATCGATATTTCAATATATTTTTTCTTACTTCAAATTACCGTTTGTGTAAACAGTGTTTATTTCGTCTACCGGTCTAGCTCCTCGAGACAACTTAATAAAGAGGATATACCCTCCAGCAGAATTCAAATCTGAATCCCCTTGTGAAGCTCTCCGTAGCTGAGCGGTGAAAGCACGCCGGAACTGACGGAGATTTTTACTGTAAATTGAAGCCATTTTAATATGGCAAGTATTCTTGTAAAATATTACATACCCGGTTATAAGCTGCCCAGTCAAGCGGCATTTAAACTTGCTCCTCAGAATTGATCATTGCATTTAAGTATTGCATTAATATTTAAGCTTAACTTTTAAAAGTTCAGCTATAATTCTTCTGCTTCCACCTAACTTTGATGTACGTAGGTCCTTACCTTCCGTAAAAACAATTATTTTTATTTCATGTGTGATTTTCGCTGGATTTCGCAATTAATTTCGATTTTTCCTAAATTTATTTACGTGTTATAAAACTTGATATCAAACCAAAAATTCGTCACAAAAATTCATGTAAAAAAATTCACCGAAAACAATCGCAGTAATGAAAACTTGTGAATCCCCAATTTCAGGATTGTGGGTCCGGATTCGGCCCGGGATGTTCTTAATTTGCTCATAGAGTTGGATTGATTCCAGAATGGTATATGCTGGGCTACGTCCGCTAGGACTAAAGTTGAAAACACGTATAATTTCATTTTGAAACACTATAATTTGAGAACAGTATTATGTTTTCTTTAATCATGAGCTATTGAAAGTTAGAGAGTTGTATCCCTTTAACTGTTTTTATCAGCAGAAACCAAGATGAAGGAATTCGAAAAAAATGGCATTAATGAAAATTTGGAAACCAAAATTTCAGGATTGTGTGTCAGGATCCGGGCCGGAATGTTATTAATTTTCTCACGGTGTCATCCTGACATCAAAATGGTATGATATGTTGGGCTCTGGTCCCTAGGAGCAAAGTTGAAAAAGTCTGTCACAGTGATACACTGACATTCGCATTTATTTTATAGGAAACACAGAGAAATACAAAAAGCGTGAAATTTATGTAACTTTTATATATCCGAGTTTCGAACATTTTACAATATCTGATACTGGTATATTCCGATTTTATATGCATAAGAATTAAAATAAACCAAAATAAACAAGCAAACAAAAAAATATATTTACTTTTGGAACTTCAGTCAGTTAAGGGCCATGTGTTATACACGCTTGGGCGAATCATATCGCTTTCAATTCATGACTGACTAGGCATCGCTCTGTCGGCTGGAGCTTCAGAATACGCCGACTGCGCCTCTGCAGAAGGGTAAGACCCAGCCCCCCTCAAATGAGGCGTCTTGGGTAAGACGATAAACTACATCCGATAGCAATTCCGAAGGTTTTGATGAGCGTGGAACCACATCTTAATTGCTCGTGTTCCCAGGTTCACCTTAACCCAGGGTGGTAGCACCTGTTAGGGTCCCAGCTATGGGCAAATAGTTAACCACAAACTGGGATCAAAACGCTATGAAAGTGCAAAAATAGGTTTTAATACCAGCAAAATTTCAGGATTGTGTGTCCGGATCCGACCCGGAATGTTATTAATTTGCTCACAGTGCCATCCTGATACCAAAATGGTATGATATGTTGGGCTATAGTCCATAGGAGCAAAGTTGTAAATACCTTTCATCAGCAATAAAAACCTTGTCTGGATTAAATAAATCATTGATGTTGATATGCCGTAAGACAAACTGACTAAGCAGAATATATCCCACAGAAAATCACCGTTTTTTTCAGCGATAGAATGGTCGTCATCCAAGGTTACAGAACGATGTTTCATAATGCTTTCCAACTTCATACCTTTCCAGGAATGTATTTGCAAATAAGTTAACATAGCGAACTCCAGCGGTATTCGAACTCACTTCTCCGATTTCCCGTTCCGAGTCGATAACCATTACTCTACGATGCTCACCCTATCCTTAGGTTAATACACTAAGTAAATGTGGAAACAGGCAGTATTGAAATCTTTGTACGTAAGGCGTAATGATGTCAGTCACGAAAAGCAAGTTAAAAAAAAAAACGCTCGTAGTTGAATAAGTTTCTCTCGGTGTTAAATGCAACGGATTAAATATTTTCAATTATTTTTGTAATTGCATTTTTCCACATGTTTCCGTTTTATTAAAATTATTTTACAAATACAAAAAATGAAATGCACTGAAGCAAAACTCATAATTGTTCATTAAAATTTCGATATTAAACTCGGACAGAATTTGAGTAAAGGTTTTAAATTACAAT